GGAATCCATTTTTCAACGGTTGGGATTTTTATCTCGATATGCGGAAAACTCAAGATGTGACTGCGAGAAGTACTGGCGCAATCAACTAAAGCTATACAAAAAGAGAGAACAACTGAAGGGGGGGGGGGAAGAGTTCCTGAGAAAAAGCTCGGACAAACCCCATTCAAAAACAGTTGATGAGGCTAATTTCAACACGACCAGGCTTGTTACTTGTGAAGCCTTGAATATGCAGATTGAAATAAAGACGGTAGGTGAACAAAATGTAATCGTCTACCCCCCTCCTCTCACTTAAATCGTTGCCTACAGTCCAATGCGCACTGCTCCACCCCAAACATCAGCCAACTGCTCATTTTACGTCCTGGGTAGAGACAGTGTGTGTGTAACTCGAGTCAATGTCGACCGTTTGTTTCATTTTACTCTCAACTTTGCCGGAAAAATCCTTTTCGGCATTTACTCACAAAGGCAATAAGGGAGAACTGTGTGGTAGCTGTGTGGAGATGCTAGGTCTTCTAAATAGCCATAACTGCTAATCAGAAACAGCGCGTGATAAGAATAACCAACTCCTTCTTGTCCTTCTTCAGCTCGTCTTTATCCTCGGTTGTATTCTTTTGAGGATGGCTACTTGATGGTTGTTTAGATGAAGGAACGGTAGGTCCTCGCTTTGATGAAGAAGCAGTAAGGCCCTTGTTTTGATGACGAAACAGTAGGTCCTTCTGAGCGAACGTGTAGGCTGCTGGCCGAGTTGACTCGGTTGTGTGACCCTCCAACTGGAGTCCTCCCGGAGATTCTGAAGCAAAAAAGTTGGATATCATAACAAAAATGATTAATTCTTTGCATTCTTAATTCTTTAGTTTCTTCAATAATTCTTCCTTTTCTTTATTTGCATCAGTGTTCCATTCTTTCTTTCCATAATTCTATCAAAGTGTAAGGGAGAAGGATTAATCAGGTCTAATAAAGGTAGAAAAGATCCAGGATGGATATGTTTTGCTTTTTGCAAAGCAATGATTTAATCATGCAGGAAGCATAGGTGCAACTAGCAAATCTGATCGAACTCAGGCCACTTAAGGTTCTAATTTTCAAAAAAGCCAAGTGGTCAGCAGAAAGTGAAGCGCACAACAGTTTGAAGCTGAAGCCAGACTCAATGAAAATATTTCAAGAAAAGAACAACTAACCCAGCCTGCTTCCCAAGTCTGGCGCTTGAACTTGACTCAGGTTCCCGACTGTTTGGAATCCTCGAACTTGGAAAGTCCGATGACTTTGAAATGCGAGGTATTGAGTGACTAAATGAACAAATAAATACACCTGTATCAAAGCTCAGTAATTAGTGATCACAAAAGTGAAATGATCTGGTCACTATGGATGACTTCCCCTTGTCGCGACCGTGTAGGAGTGAAAGCGATTGCTCCTGCTTATAGAGCAATCTCTTGTGAACATTTTACCGTGAGTTTCCGTGTAACTCGTCATCCGATGCTATATAAATTTTGATGACAGACAAACTGCCTCATCGCCCCT